AGAAGGCCTGTCGAGACTCCCAAGAGGGTCATGGTACGATTAATCTACGGGCCTTAATATTTTCGAATAGGGTTTTGGAGTACCTTATAGTATGTTTGTAATCAACGAATAATATAGGTAACTCTTTATGCCCTTATATTAGAGAAATCCGGCTGGGCACAAGGGGGTAGCATCGATACACTGAGGTTTCAATTAAGCTGGCTCGATCAAAACTCACACGTCTTTGGGCCGAAGTCCGCATTTCGACACGATGCTTCTCAAGTTGCACCCTATGAGCTGTAGACATTCGAAGACCTGCTTTTGAAACCTTCAAGTGGCCAAGTGTCAGGTGGTAACAACCCATCCGCAGGCCTCGAGCGATTTCAGCCGCTTGGGCTTGTCCCATTCCTGCAACAGTAGTTTGAGCTCTTACTATAGAAGCTTCACGCCCAACACTGGGCGCACGTGGCGGGCCACACGTGCTGTAAAGTAAAATATATCTTGCCTTCGTCGGGGGGCTGTATTCACTGTAGCCGAATAACTTGACAGCTGAAGGGCGACGAACCGACTGAGTCCACTCAGCACATTCAGCTGATCCGTCCTTGTCCGTGAGAATCAGCAACGCCTCCGAGACACTGACTCTGGACCGATGAACCAATCAAAGGAGATCATGCATTGCAGAATGTCCAGGTCTGCTCGCATATGAGGTTCTTCCGAAGCTGTCAGTTGTCTAAAGTCTAGAGGTGGACTCTTGCGAAAGCATTTGCCATGATGCGAACCACCCCGCACGGCCTCGTGCTGGAAGGCCAAAGCGATGGATCCGTGCATGCTTCGATCCTGGAGTTTGACCCACAGTGGAGGGACAGTCTGGGGTTGAAGGATTCGGGAGGTTTAAGGGCTTTCGATGACAGGAGCGACACTTCATGCGGCTGTCTCTCGGAAGAATGCTGCCCAGCAAAATGCATGCAAACTGTTTCCTTACTGTCTCCGCAACACATGTTAACCTTTGTCAATGCTGTAGGTCATCACTCTCTGTGTGCCTGGCATCACGTTAATTTGGACAAATGCAAAGCTGACACCTTGCTTACTACTGGAACGCACATCTCTGAAGTATACCAACACAGGACAAGATCACCAGGATTGCTTGAATCATGGAGCCTGTCCCTGAACCGCTGTTTCAATGGCATACTGGGCTAGTACGACGCACATGCTGTGAGACGCGCCTCACCGGTGGAAGCCCTGCAGCACTTTGCGAGGTGCTTGTATGCTTGGACCTGACCCGGCGCCGGTATACATACATACAGTATACGTACATGCGTGGCCGCGAAATTCGCCAGCCTGCAGATACAGCTTATCAGGGCTTATCACGCATACTCAAGCATATGCAGCTGCACGAACTGCAGATATGTACATCTTCGTGTATTGCGATGTCTTCGCATCTCTTCGTATGTACGCCGTGCGTGCACTGTAACGGCATATATCAGTTCGCCCATGCTTTATGCAGTTAGTCGAGTAATGGCATTGCAGCAAAAGAAATCCAGGTCTATGTTGGGCTTTCCGATGGACAGACCGTAGCATCGTATAAAACCCCTTGAACGCACCAAACAACTGAAGAAACAATAAACATACGAGTACCTTCATATACCTTCGTTGTCGATGCATTTGGACAATGGTTACAATGTAGGTCTCTGGCAGCGACATCCTGCAGCTCATTGAGAAAGGCTGCCGCGGACGGCGAATCGGAGCCTGGCGGAAGCCGAGGGCTGCAATTGACTTCTTAAGACTTAAGACCGTAAACTCTCCAATGGGAAAGAGAAACAAACGCCACGGCACTACTACACACTGCCTCGCAGCACTCTATGTCCATGCTATGTTGAGTGCTAAAGTAAGAGACGCCACAGTGCAACACGCATGCGGAATGTGGACAGCAAGCATGCGTCTTGCGTTATGCTGCGCTGCTGGTTGAACCGGGATTATTGGAGCATCAGTCTACTTTGGTGCTGCTCTCTGTACAACTATGCAGATCACGCGTGGGCCTGAAAACTGACTGTAATTAACAAAGTCTTAATCGCAAAACGGGCCCTGTAACTATGCAGCTCGTATCCGACAGTACGCCCTGGGCATGCCACGACACTTTGGACTGTAGCTGTAATGGTGGAACAAGTCCTGGAATCTGTTGCGGCAATACAATATTCCAACAAGAGCACCGCAGTGTACCGTAATTGTAGTATAGTACAACATCACATGTTTCAGCGAGACAATCCGAAATACGATGTACTAATTATGCTGCAGGACATCATGAGCTAGTCCGTTTCAAAGCCTTCCAGACGCTTCTGTCGATCGGAGGGCGCTACGCGACTGGCTGCATCGGCCTGGAAAGTAGGCATCTGGGCAACACCGTAGCTCAATAAGCCTGTTCAGTTAGATGGATAGATACATAGATAGATAGATAGATAGATAGATAGATAGATAGATGGATAGATGGATAGATGGATGGATAGATACATAGATAGATAGATAGATAGATGGATGGATGGATGGATGGATGGATGGATGGATGG